GATGCACAATACAACCTTCGCATTTTATCATAAGTATGTCAAACTATTGACAAAGAACATGCCAAGTAAGCTTCCAAATTCTGCAATAACATAATAAAATCATGCAATATAAAGAAAATAGTCAACAATCACAAACGGTTAACAAAAAACCCCTCTATTTAATCAATACTTTAATGTTACACTTCTGATACTGTAGCTAATATTTACTTAAGAAATTTTATCTTATGCATTTTCTGATTTGTTACTAATAAGCATCTTTCCTTTGTATGCTGAAAATATTTGCATGCTTTCTGAATAATTCACCAGCAGAGTTAACTTTGTTAGATCAGCTGACATTGTCTTATTTCTTCGAATTTCCTGGACATGTGTGTGTCAAAAAAAAATTAAATTCTGTTTTCAGAGAAAACTTTCAGGTTTTCACAAGAATTAAATATCATGGGGGGGCGTGTCTTGGATCTTATTTGCATATAGACATGCATTAGAGGTACTGTCTATAGTTAGGGTTGTATTCATTCCTTCATTTAAATTCGAACACTCACAGGGCATATAAAGAAAACACCTCACACTTCAGCCCTCTTCAGGCTTTATCTTGGTCCAAACAACTGAGGCGGGGGGGGGGGGGGGAAATCAGATAAACTGACCAATTCTAATTTCAGACTGGTTACTGAAAATAAAAAAAAGTTCTGAGACATATACAGCATACCATCACTTTTCAGTTCTGAAATTTCCTCCTCCTACAAAGAAAGAAAGAAAAGGTTCTGAATGTTTCCCTCCAAGACACAAAGTACATGGTGAAAACTTCCTCTGTTCATTTTGACAGATGGGTGGGGAGGATGAAGAGAGATCAGCAGAACATGCACACTCAGCAGAGAGAAGAACCCCCACTGTGATGCAACTTGGATACCAAGAGAACCCTGAGACAGGACAATGACATCTTTACATGACAAGCTAACTGAAAACAATTTATGCAGTGCCTCTCCCACAAACGGGAATCCATGTTGTTGGCTTATTGATAGGAGAATGAGATATTGATACAGGAGAAAAGATATCCATACAGAAACTTCAGCATTATAAACAAAGCATCTTTGTTTTCCGAGCATCCAGAACGAGTAGGAGACACCAACACTTAAACCTAGACTGTGAAACATCAGAATTACAAGTCTCAATCGGTGCTTCTTGGAGCAGATATACTCTGTATTAAGTCAATTTTACTTATCACAATGCTGAAAAAACCCCAATCTCTTCACAGTACTGTCCATCTTTTGAAGCTTTTCTTTTCTCTCAGTGTTATATGAACTCAGATCCTTTGCTAATGATATTCCAGCATGTACTTTACCAGACTTCCTTATTTGAAACTTCAGCACAGATAGACCTATGCTTTGGATACTTTTTTTGCCTCACTTCTTCATTTCTGTCAGCAAAATACAAGGTTTTGTCATAATTATAATCTGGTTCAGAAAGGGAAGCACAGTTAGAATTTGGACATAGGCTGCAGATCTGTTTTTTCTCATTTGTCAACTGGAACGTGGCAGCACCTACTTCTAGGGTAGCTTGCATAGCCAGCAGCAACTAAGGCATGAGCTAGGTTGTTCTCCTCATACAGAACATCCACCTCTAATTTCATTTCAGAGCCATAGTGTTTAAAATGAAATATCAGACCTGGTTTACCAAGAAGCTTCTTAAACAGAAGTTTAGCTTCATCACTCCAGTATTCTCCCTTGGCAGGAACTGTATCATGTAAAGAGCAAGAGTGTGCCAAGCGTGGCAAGAAACACAGACTTTCTGGAATAACTTTCAGTTTATGGATATCAGAATAAGGGATGCTCTTCAGAAAGCCATAATCAATAAGTGTAAGAACAACAGACTGACTTGTTACCTCAGTAATTTCTGCTCTGTTCCACTGTGCTTCCAGTCCAAACTTGATCAAGCAGTTAGTACCAGGAGCCACAAGTTCTTTTGGCAAAACTGGCAAGTTGTCAGGAAGGTCAGAGAGCAGCAAAGACAAGTTTTGCATGCAACCAAATAAGACTTCAAACTGGATGCAGAAGTTCGAAGGATCAGCAACTGCAGTTGCAAACCCATGATACCTTCCGCCACTCCGCAGCTGCATCCATGTGACTGAATTTATCTTGAATGATGTATCAAACTCCTTACAGTCTGCATTACTGGATTCTTCTGGTCCAATAATAGTCCAACATTGACTTAAGAGCTGGTTCAAATACTCCTGAAGCAGAACTTCCCCTATTAAAATATCTACTTCCCAGACATGAGAGGATTCTAAGTATCTCATAAACAAGATCCTTATTTCACGATCCAGGAGTGCATTTACTACATGGACAAACTGAATTTTCTTCAGGTTTTTAAACCAAATCCATTTACAAAACACAGCTTGCTTAGGAATACTTTTAATCTTGTTACTGAGCATCTTTGCTTTATTTAAGGACACCATCTCACACTTGCCATAATCCATGAGAAAAACTAGCATTAACTTCTCCCTGACAAATTTCTTTATCACTTTTGATCGATACCACTTCAAGTTCCTTTCAGATTTCGTCATGCATTCCAATCCTTCTTCAATGTCATCCACTCTAAGCAAATCACTTCTTCGTGCTTCTTGGACAAGCATTGTATTTAACTCATGTAATACCTGCAAATTTCTAAGTAACTGTACATAAAATTCTCCACTGTCTGAAATATCAGTTACTTCTGCTCCTTCTACCTGCCCAGAATTTAGATCCTGAGGTAGGACATTTAAGGGCATTTTGGAAGTAATTTTCATTCCAACAGTCTTAGTTTTACTTCGATCACCTAAACTACTCCTAGACTCTCTATCTTGAGGATTACCATTCATAACCAGGATTTGGTTTGGCCTGTTTTCCTGATTATGCATTGGTGTGTTTTGCCACCTCGTCCTGCCCTTCTTCTGCAGAAGTTCATTAGACACAGACTTTCCATCACAAATTACATCTACTTCCCATTGCTCTCCATGTTGCTGTAAGAACTTGCAAATGACTGGCTTGTCAATTATTTTCCTTACAAAATAAGAAGTATTTTTTTCAGTCCAGCTTTCATCAGGAACACTTTTTAATCTGCTAAGAAAACAATGAATACTGAGCCTCGGCAAAGTTAAGAACTTTTCCTGAATCCTGCAGATTTTTGAAGGACTTACGACTGCTGCATTACCATAGTCAATGAACTCAACCTCAAAGGAGTTTCCCCATTTCAGAGTTTTAATAACTGCTCTGTAGTAAAAACAATCAGCATCATGCTCTGCAACAACGAGATCACCTACCATGAGCTCATCTAAGCAATTTTTGTGACCCACATTCACCGTGCTTTCATTTAATTCTTCTGCTAGTTGTATTATTAAGTTTTCATCCTCTGCAAGCTGAACATAGAAACTTGATGGACTATTCATATGAGAAATATACCCTGCTACTTCACAATTCACCCGAATATCACGTGGAGGAAGACTGATTAATTTAGGCATATTTTTGTTATTCCTTTCCTGATGACCTATATAATTTAGTCTTTCAGTATGAGGTTCAGAGACAGCATTTACAGTTATTTCCTTTGAATTTAAAGCAGGATGAGAGAGGGAGTGAGAAACAGGCTCTCCAACCAGAGGTTCCTCTCTGTGCTCCAGTACAGCACCAATAGTATTTCTAACACCTGGTTCTTCACTGTCCTGTAAAGTTAGTGGTTTTGAAGACCCACTACACAACTTTCGTGCACTACAGGCACTTTGCTCTTCATCTCCGAAACTGTTTTCTGTATCTGCCTGAAAATACTCATCATATACTTGGCACTTCTCTTCAGTTTTCAGTTTAACTCTTTCAGGATTTTTAACAGTTACTTTATTAATTTCTTTGTCATCTTCCACGTGACATATCACTCCATTACTTCCAACAAATTGTTCCGTGTAATTTTTTAGTGCCAATTCTTCCAATATTTTTTCTTTAATTTTCTGGCTTACTTTGAGCTGTCCATCATACAACTCCACAACAACCTGTCCATCTGATTCTCTGGATACAATCACAGCCTTCAGCAGTTTACCAAGGAATGCTTCCTCAAACCATCTAGTAACTCTTGCTGGAATTTCTGTCTCCCTAAGATCCGACAGGCAGCATTTAATAGCTTGCATGGGTGTGAATATTAGGTCAGTGGCAGAGTCTGGAATAGGCATCAACTGGTCTCTCTCCACCATATTCTTATTTCCAAAATCCACAAAGTCAGCACATAGATATGATGTCGATTCCACAGGAAAAACCAAAGCTCTATAAAAGAGATCATCTTCAAAATATCTGGCTATACACAATCGCATATTGCTGGTACGTTTTGCATTATTTGACATTTTACTTATGACACTAATCTTCTTCATCAATGCCTCTATAGTTTCAGTGTTTCGATTAAGTTGACAATAGAATTTTGAAGGATTATGTATGTGAGTTATATAAACCTCCTCCTCACTTCCAATCTTTATATTAAAAGATGAGTAGCAAAAACTGTACAGAGAACCCAGAGATGCAAGGTTTCTCAGACCAGTATCTTCAGACTGAGCAAGACCACGATCTCTGAGGAATTCCTCTAAACTAGTACATGGAGTCTGTAAGTCAACTACATTGTGTAAACAGTTGGGGCTTATAAGAACAAGAGCATAAATGACGCAAGTCAGCGATTCTCTAGAAGCAGAAATGAAGTCTTCAAAATGTCTACACACTTCTTCAGAGTGTTTAAGTGAGCCAATCTGTAAGGGTACATTTTTAAGTCCACATCGAAATGCTAGACTTTCCAGAGTTAGGAAATCTGGAAGAATAGCTCGAAGATCTTTAAGTAAAACTCTTTCCCGATAACCATAGTCTACAAAAACTACATCAACTTCATTTGAGGATACCTGCCGCACAACAGTTGCTCTGTACCACTTCCCATCTTTGGGACGTTTAACAATACAGGCAACCTGGCCAGTTTTGTAAGGACTGGTATGCTCTTTATAGTAACTCTGAATTCGTTCCATTAAGTTATTTAGCTCTGGCAGTTTGCTTTGCAACTGACATGAAAAATCTGCTGGGGAAAACACGCAAGAACACACCACTTCAAAAACAGCTCCTGGTTTAAACACAAACTCTTTATAAAATAACTTTTCCTCAGGTACCACTCTACACCTTTTAGGAATTCCACCTTTTCCAAAACAGGACAGCCCAACAGATTCTCTCAGCACTGAAGGTACACTGGGTGATTTCCCCTTCTGAACCGTTTCTCCATTTCTGGAGACCTGATTTTTATGAATATTACAGATGCTCCGTGCATTTACTTTTTTTTTTAATTTCTGGGGATTCAGGCCTTGACTTTTTTTTGCCAAATTTAGAGCAGAATCTTGTGTCTTTTCCCAGGATTCAGCATATCCAGCTTCCACCATACATGCAGTAACATTTCCCTGCTGCAAACCAGTCCTACACTGCACATTAACAACATACTTGTTGTTTCGCTTTCCAATGACATGAAGCACCAGCGGTTTGTTAAACACAATGCCTTTGAAGAAATCAGTTTCCTTTTTAACCCACACACCGTCAACAGGAAACGTGTAAGCAAGTGCACAACACACAGCTAAAGCTGGTAAATCAGAAAACTCGGGAAGCAATGTTTTCACATCATAACAGGGTACTGTATCTGTATTTCCAAAATCCAAAAAATAAACTGCAATGTTTACATGAAGCACTTCGATGACAACACCCCGATAATAATGCATGTCTTTGCCATACCGGGCACAGCACAGCAGTCCAGGTTCTGGGTTTTTAAGGACCATCTCATCAGCTCCACATCGGTTATATGTGTCTGCAATATTTTTCATCAGGGCTTGAAATTCATCCTCATATTCACATGTTTGAACCCAGAATTCAGATGGATTTACAACATATACCACAAAAGCAGGATAGGAAGAATTAATTCGCATTTCTACTCTTTTGCAGTGGCTTGACAAAAAAATATCCCATTTGGGTAAGTGGTTTTTTGAACGTTTATTTCCAGCACAATTCTTAAACGAATTGTATCTCTCATGATATGGTTTGTAGTTTACAGCAATAGTTGTGATTTTTGTTTCTGGAAGCGAGACACATGATGCAGCTGCCTCATTCAGGTTTTCTGGATGTTTAGCATTAATTCCAAGATTCTGATTTTGTAGCGTAATATAATACAAGCGTTTAATGTCATTGAATAAATCAACATGGACACACACAGAAGTTTGTCTGATCAAGGCCTGTGTAAGTTCTTTCAGCTGCATTTTTACCACTGTTTCATCCTGACTACCAAAACAAGACAGTGCACATGGAAATGAAATCATAGGTAGTGCCATGAACTCTACTTTAAGTTTCTGAACACAACTAAATGGCACAGCTTCAATATTGCCAAAATCCATAAACCAGACTTCCACGTTGTCAGAGAGAAGCTGTTTTATCACTCCTCTATGCCATTGTCCATTTTTCCTTTTGGCAGCACAGAGCAGCCCTAAACTATCAAATGACTCATTATTGTCTGTACTGGCAGCTTCATAGCACAAATGCATAGTGCCCATCAACTCTTCCAGCTCTTTTTGCCATTTCTGTATCTGACAGTAAAATTTATTTGGGCTTACTGCAACAGTTATTTTTACATTTTCTTTACTGCCAACAGGTAGACGTGGAAAGAGATCATCTGGAACTGGCCAAAAATCTGTTGGTTTCTCAGAATTACTGAAAGTAAGCAACTCCTTGACTGGATACTTCTGTTGCAACAACTGTGGCACTCTCTTACAAAGCATTTCTTGAGGAAGTGCTCTTAATGTTTCTACAATAAAACAAAACGAATCTCCATCAATACATTTTCCTAACTGCAATTCAAGAACATCACTAACGATCTTTGGCACTTCGAGAATATATAGTTGGTATGGTACAACAGCTTTCACATGACCTGTAATCTGTAATCCTACCAGAGATGAAAAATAGTTAATGGCTTTTGGACCCCATTTTTCTCCAAGAGGAAGTATGCTTGCAAAAACACCCAAAATCACCTTTGGAGGCAGCTGAAAAAATTCATCAGAAGCAGAAGCCAGATGTGTTTCCTCAACCACCAGCACTTGCCCAGTGTCTATAAGAAAAGCTTCACAGGTATTCTCTCTCTTTTCCAGAAGTCTTCCTCTATGCCACTGTCCTTCTGTGTCTTCCACTAAACAAGACCCACCAACACAAACATTATCTTTTACTTTGAATACACGTTGCATTTCATTTTGTAGTATGTAATAGTCAGGATCACACCCTCCTTTGCATTGACCCTGGAACACTATAACCAAGCATTCAGGATGGCATTCTATACGAGTTATCTTCAGATTCATATCTACTACTTTTGGTAAGGTAGTCAGAGCTTCCATCCTGTCTGCAAAGAAAAGGAGCAAGATCAGCCCAATAATTATCCATACTTTTTGTCAACTACTTCCTTACATGAAGTTTGTTTTCAAAATGATTTAATAGCATATTATTACACTTCTGTTTAAGATGTATCCTAAACATTTAGCAATGTCATGTTTTATGCAACTGGGATACACTTGACACGATTCTCTTTGTAAACACATGTTCAAATAACAGATAAAAAAAAAGTACCTCTGGACTTGCTCTGTGGCTGCAGACTAATTTTACCATTTGAGAATAATTCTTAATCAGAAACTGTTCCCAGAATAATACTGAGCAGTATTGATTGTATCAGAAAATGGCAGGGGGGGGCAGGGGGGGGGGAAGGGGTGTGTGTGGAATGACAGACATGCACGGATGTGGGACAGGACAGATGACCAGGAAGATAAAGAATGGAAAACAATTCATGTTACACAATCTCTGCACATCTCACAAATGTTACATCCAGTACATTTAACTGCAAATCACTCCAAAGGAGATACAACTCAGTGTTTCATTTCACTGCAGATTTACAGTTACAAGTTTGCAGTTTACTTGCAAAAGTATTCCCAGTCTGTTTCTTGTTTTCTTTTTAACATGTGAATGATCAAGGACTCCTCCCCTACTCACTCTGCTCTTTCTGTGTTAATCACTTCTTCGAATCAATGACATCTTATAGCTCTATGCTTTACCATTTACTTAATCTGGCTGTCTATGAATTATCAGGTATAGCTATAGCATATTTTAAGTTTTTCTAATTGCAAAGGCATACAGAACACATTATCCATGTCCAACACTTCTGCCCTGCCCATCAACTAATGATTGTCAGGTGTGTTTTGTGCTGTCTCAACATTCTGATTCTGACCATATAAGTACCTTTAAACCCTTCAGATACTTCTCTGACCCTCCTCTACAACCTCGTCTTCAAGCTCAGCTTCCAGTTCCATTCAAGTATGTCAATGGCCCTGTGATTTCACATTGTCTAAAAAGGCTGCCTGTGCATGCCCATAATTTAACCAAGCAATTCTATGAAATAAACTGCTGTTCTAACAAAGTAAGTAGGGGTAGACCATATCTGTCAAATGCAGAGACAGCGGATAAACTCACAAGGACAGACTCGACAAAGGATATGCTAGATTTATGATTTCGTATGCAAAGCTGAAAGTGAAACTTGCACTTTCCACTACAAGACATTAGAGCAAGATCTTCCTCAGCCGGAAAAAAAAAAAAATCTTCAACAAAACCGCATGATCACAAGAACACGTGAATTAGCTAGTGATCATACAATCTGTCTTCAGAATAAATATTGATGCCCATCACTCTAGTTCCACAGAAGTGAAATAAAAATAAATGAGCACTCCTACTGTAAAGCTCACCAGAATATGTCAGGCAAGAAAAGAAAGGATATATGACTTCTCAAAAAAAAAAACCCACCAAAACGACCAGCCACTCAAAAAACCATTCCCAGTAAAAGCAATACCAAATCCAGATCAGATAAATACCTGCTTAAACAAGCCCCCCTGTTTTTCTACTTTCCCCTATAACAAAATAGAAAGCTAAATTCTGGGGTTTTTTCTTTAAATGAAAGAAAACAGACTTCAGGAAGTGGTTCTGCCTGCCTGGAAGAAACACCCGATCATTAGACAGAACCAAAATTTTGAAGACACACCACTGATGCTCTGGGCACTTATTTTTCCCCCATTGAAACAAAGTCCTGGCTGCAGAAACATGTAACAAATGAAGACAGTTTGTGCATCAATATTGGCTTGCCCATTGTTACAGCCCAAATAACAGCATCACACTGATAGTGTCACTTTTCTGCAGTTCACAAGATGACCTTTTGCTTTTTACTCACCCATAAACCAGTCAGGACTTAGTCATTCAGGAAACCTCAGCCCTCCCATTAACAACTCTGCATCTTTCTACAAGGAAAGATGAGAGAAAAATCATTAGAAATATATATATAAAGCAAGCTCTTCTCTAAATCCTCCTCCAGCCCAACAAACACACCTTGGAGGTGTTCCTCATACCCAGTTTCATTACAACGTTAATATTTCAGAAAACAAAATTACAAAACCGAATCCACATTTCTAGAACCACGGTAACACCATTCTTTCTTCGCCGCAGCTCAAAACAATCATCAGTGAGAAGAACCATACACAGATAACCCACCACTTACTTCCTAAACAAGAGTGGTCGCACATTTAATTTTGCTTGCAACACTCCAGCCATCAAAACATACCCTCCATCGTGCGTTACTACCCGATGAACAAGCTTACAGCATAATAAAGGACCTTTTAGACACAAGCCAACGCAGGACACAAGCAACACCTTCCGGTACCTGCG